ATGTGGCAGTTCCACGAAACAAACCCCCGAGTGGGCGAATATATCGACCGCTACGTCTTCCCAGGCGGATACCTCCCCACCCCGAATATTCTCTTCGATTCTCAACATCGCGGCAGCAAAGGATCATTGGAAGTGACTTCCGTGCTCAGTTCGGGCCCTCATTATGGGAAGACTTTACTTGGATGGAGGGACAACTTCCTGGCAAACTGGGAAGATATCCGATCAGACTTTTGCAGTCGGCACCCTGAGGCTTCGGCAAAGGATGTTGAGGCTTATCGACGACGCTGGCTGGTGAGTTTCTCCGAATAATAGTTCGAAAATATCACGGGTTGCTAATGACTTAGTATTACTTCGAGTATTGCGAAGCCGGGTTTCGTAATCGCATCTTGGGAAATTACACTATTTGCGCAGTTCGAGCCCCTGAGCCGGTTGTGGGGTATGACAATTTGGACATTGCAGATGCTTAGGGTTGTTTGTTCATAATATTTTGAGTCCAACTTTGTGGCTGCGATTTCAGGTCGGATAAGTAGGCTTTATAGTATGGTTAGGATCGGGAGAGTTCGGTTAAGCTTTTGGCCCCTGCCATGGTAGCACCAACAAATTACCCGAGGTTATAAACTTCCAAAATCTGCTAATTTGCGAAGTGTGTACCATTCCTCACTTCTTGACTAGATAGCCTGTAGTACACGGTTCCTAACGCTAAACCCATATCCCAAATCACTACTTGCACTTCTCTTTGAGGCTTCGAAGGTCTCTGCTGTTGACTACCGCCCTCGAGGTTGGTGCAGATGACGACAAACTTAGCGGGTTCTCAAATTTTATTGTTGAAGTTGCAGACACGGATCTGTCCGAATTTACTTCTTAGCTATCTTCGACATATGAAACGTTCCAGTGGTGAGAGAGAGAATGTATCCATGGCTCCACGGAGCCCTCGCCGTTGAGTCGGTGATTGCTATCGAGGACAGGGGTGTATTGAACCCAGAGAGTGCTGTCAGCAGGCTCAAGTCCTAGGTTACTGAGTCCGTTGTCGCATTGCCGGAGGGCTGAGGCGAGCTGGGGGGCTGCCGTGAGGAGGAAATTGGCAGTTGCAAGGAGCGAAGAAGAGAGCTGCATTTTAAAGGAAGAATGGAGAGGTCACATAATGCTTATAAAAAGGTCATATGAGGTGCGATATCAAATGAGTGCTTGTTCTCGTCATTTGCTGCTGTTGATTATAATTTCAGTCACGGGGAGAATACATCCTCCTATATCCCATTCAGAAAGTAGGGTGATCATCCGATCATATCTTCAAAGACGCCTTTTCTCTGGTCTCACATTGACAAAATCTGTAAACCTTGTATACACTACAGAGTAAGCGTGGTCAAAGAATATTACACCCCCGAAGCGATAGACCGGGGCAAAAACTGGGGGTTATGTCCGTTCCTGATCATCAGAGCACTTTCCGGACGGTCGAACCTTCAATTAGAAAGAAAGCAAGAAAAGATCTGCACAAAGCGTGGCAAAATCAAGCACGGTCGGTCATCGTTCAGACACCATACGTACAAAAGTAGCAGTACAGAATAACGATTAAGATATGAACTCCACAGGGCTGCACTAATCACAGCTAGCCCTTAGATTATCTCTGTGGTCTAGACTTGGAAAACCTGTGACGACGAGATCGTCGATCATTCAATGCACACCAATGATGCGACCGGGCATGAGGGAACGTACGACAAGAGTAGATCGAATAGGAATTAGATCACCAAGTAATTAGAAACAGGGCGCAGTTCAAGAGGCAAGCTTGCTGTCAGGTGGTCGTGGCAAGTCGATTACCGATAAAACACCGAATTATATCATCGCGCTTATCTACTGAGCGAGCCTGAGCCCTACTAGTCGCTACAATTCAAGCCGTTTCTGCAGTAGTCGGTCCGCGGAGACCACTGCATCGGAAAGGACCCACCAAACAGAAATTCCGGATTAAGGGACAGTCAGGGGTGAATGAGCTAGCTGTATAAATCTACCAACCAAAAATCCGAGCGGTGGAAAGCCCCGCAAAGAGCAGCTCAGACTACAAAGGTTCGAGTGGAGTTCTAGAATGTTTCTCCTTCGGGCAAGTATTGTGCGATCGATAAACTAGCTCTGAGTGGCGGTATTCTCCGTGCATCCCGTCCCAGATTGGATAGCTCGCGGTGACGCAAGAGGCAACGCCCGCAGCATGTATAGGCGGATAAGTGGGCGGCTTTTTCGGTGCGGATGTATACATTTTACGGGACTGCCCGAGACAGGAAATTGTGAGGAACCGGGTTGAACCAACAAGATGTCACAGACAAACGAAAGTGGTCGATCATTGGTCTGGCAGTTCCTTCCGCACTGTTGTGGGCCTGCGGGAGATTGGCTGGAAGTCATTTCCATTTACTAGCGTCCCCGCCAGTGTGTGACCAACTTGACGGTCCGAGGATTGAAGTATCAAGGCACGCACACTGCCTCTTGCCGTCCTCTTATAAGCTTCAATGACTGTCCACCTTACTCTACTCATCATGATTCACATTTTTTTTGTTGACAGTTGGGAGCTCCCAGGACGTTCACTATAGCCAGGAAAATAAGAGTAGAATAACATCTAATCTATGACCTCGGAGAGAAAACCACGGATTTTGGCCCCTGCAGCCCCAGTTAAGGACCCCGTGCCACGGCCTTCGACGAGAAAAGTTTCTACAGCTTGCTCAAATTGCCGCCTCAAAAAGGCGAGGGTTTGTGCCCACAACATCTCATACTTTGCCTGTACTTTGCCCGGTCACGAAGTTAACCCTGCATCTCTTCCAGTGCAGCGGCACAGCACCATGCGACTCCTGTGTCAAGCACGATCTCGATTGCAATATCGACGAGGCCACGGACTCCCGCCGCAAAATTCACCTTAAACGGAAGATTGACAACTTAGAAGGCGACCGCGATCTGTTCGTGCAGGTACTGGAGATATTACGAAATGGTGGCGTCACACGGGTGCATTCCCTATTGCAGTTGATTCGCAGCAATCCCTCGTTGGAAGAACTTCAACTCTTTGTCGAGGACAAGCTAAAAGATATCAGTGCCCTCGATTCTACAATAGATGAAGTTCGGTTGTCAGATGACTTTGTCGTCAAAATCCCTCGGAGAGTGCTCAACATCAAGCGACTCGCCGATCAACCTGTCTTTCGTGTACCCGCAATACCCTGGACTAGAATAACTGATGATGATCACTTTGTCTCGCACCTTGTCTCCTTATATTTTACATGGCGCTACCCTTGCTTTCCCTGCCTCGACCAAGAAATATTCATACGCGACATGAAAAAAGCCAAGCTCAATACCCAGTTCTGCTCGCCCTTCCTGGTTAATGCCATCCTGGCTGATGCCTGTGTAAGCTGCCGACTACTTTTCTCAGACAACTTCTTTTGATAGGCATTTCATTGACGTAATCATTCATTCAGGCATACTCAGACTTTGCAGAGGCATACGAAGTCCCTAGCGATCCGTCTACGCGAGGATTACACTTTTACAACGAGGCGAAGAGATGTTTCGAACAAGAAGATGGGCATTCTACCCTAGCCACAGTACAAGGGCTGGCAGTATTATCAACTTGGTACGACTTAATATGTCTCTAGTCTTTTATACGATTCGCGAAATGCTGACTATGAGAGTTAGTGCATGCTTAATGGGCAAAGACAGGCGGGGATGGATATACCAGGGTCAGCTTGCTTTTGCTGCGAAGGAGCTTCAACGCACGCTTCGCACCATATCCTCTGGTTCTTCTGACGAGGCATCTGATATACGACGGGTTACCGATCTTACTCTTTGGGGTTTGTACAACATGACAATGTATGTCACACCAGTGAAGTTGTGTGTGGGGTAAAACTGACTTCTACCAGCGCAACCGCCTTCGCTTACCAAAAGCCGCCATTGATCGAAAAGCCTAGTCGTCCATGTCCGCCTAGTGCTTATCACAATGACGGTCCGCTATGGCACCCTTATCCGCACGACGGCGATAGTCTTCAGGGGCACTACATGTGCTATTTCAATGGCTTATCTGAGCTAACAGCAATCGTTGACGATTGGTGCACGTTGCTCTTCGACGGCTTAACGAGTCCGACGCCCGATGAGGTTCAAGATATGGAAAACAAAGTCCGTAGACGCCTGGCAGTGTGGGAAAAGACCCTCAAGCCATGTCTCAGGATAGAGACTGGGCGTGTGATCCTCCCCCACGTATTATGTCTACAGTATGTCGTATCCATTTTCGAAAAGATTATCGATTCCATTTAACGCTGAAACGCAGTATGTATTATCACAATATCTGTATCACAATTACGGAGCTCGCCAAAACAGCAGAGCATGGGACAGAAGATCAGCATTTGGGGCCGGAAGAACTATCTCTTTCAGCTGCTCGCCAAATTGCCGGGTTGATGGAAATACACCGATCTACCTGGGGTATTGATCTATTTCCAGCAAGTCATATTCATTGGATTGCAGTGTCCATGTTTACTCTCTTGGGAAAGCTTGACGTGCCAGCGAACCAGGAGGCGTTTGTCAATCTTTGTGTGGCGGCAAAAGTAGCGTCTCGACGATGGCCTCTTGCACGGGGCACATTACGGACTGTTCAAGTCACGGCGAAAAAGCTCGGGGTAAGGCTTCCGCCTGAGACAGATCCACTGTTCATAGATTTCGAAAGAAAGATTTGGGGGCCTAGGGGTCGCAATGGGCTCAGCAGCCTGTATCCCAATTTTGCTGTTTTGACAGGAACATTACGAAACGAAGCCGTTGAAATGGACAAGTTCCTAGAGAAGGAAGATGACTTGGAGGCTCTCGACCTTGCGGAAGATGACGAAATGGTCTTGTAGGAGAGCAGCGACTACACTTGATCGGGGCGAGCAGCACGCCATCAGAGTCATGTATCATTAGCGAGATAAGAACACGGAGTCTCACCACAAAATAATAAGATTAGAAGAATATTAACAGACACCTTGAGCAGAATGTAAAAAGATATTGCTTCAAAATGCGTTAGCTGGGAGTCGAACCCAGGGCCCAACCTTTCGATTTCGCTATCGCAGGAGATCATGGAAGGGTTGAATGTTACCGTTACACCACTAACGCATGGGGTGAAAAATAGATAGCTCTCTTTGCTTCATAGACAACATAATACTATCTCGTTATCATAATAGTACCCGAAGCCCATGTATGGTGAGGTGCCGCCGATAGCGAGGCAGAGGAGGAGGGAGGTGAGGGAGAATTGTGAATGGTGGATGGTTAGGGTTACGGAGTGGTTGGTGGGTTGAGGGGGGATGGTAGAGGAGTTTTGATTGTGAAGGGTGATGTGGTTTATCAATGTTGTGTTGATGTTGGAATGGGATAGCCGGATTCATAAGTTATCAGTAGCAGTAGCAGTAGTAGTGTTCTTGTGGTGCTAGGCTGGTCTGTTCCAATATAACCTAGTATCTTGAACGCTGGATGTCTTCTTGGGTGAGAATTGCTGGCATATTTGATTGCCAATTCAATTGTTGACGTATCTTGCTAGGGTCTGACGTGTTGTATATCACTGGGAATGAGTGGAAAGGTTATTGTTTATTTCTGGGGCGGAACAAGCTCTATGATATGCTTGTAGTCTGGCGTTTATCTATGAGAAAGTGAAGGGAATTTACTGGAAGGTGGAGATAGGAGGAGAAACGGAGGAAAGGATCAGGGGGGAGAGAATAATGATGATCACTTCCTATATGTAGTGAAGCTATGTGTGGTGAAGAAACAAAAAGTAATCTTAGTTTCATGTGATGACAGTTACCAGATGGTGGCGAAGAAAAAAGAATTGACAAGAGTGGGATTCGAACCCACGCCATCTTACGATGATCAGGAAGCTATGAAGCTGGGTATTAAGGTGGACCTTAACCTGACGCCTTGGACCAACTCGGCCATCTTGCCGTGAACATGTAAATTGGCTGGTAAACTATGTAATATTAAGGAAATCCATTCTGAGCACCCTATTTACTTGGTTCCGTTCAGTTCTCCGGCCAGAGGTGAGGCAGGGTGGTTCATAGTTCCTCTTGGGAATAAGTACCTTCTAAGAATGAACAACTCTCCATTTACATTAGTAGCACGATACCGGTGTTAACTAACTTTGCGGTTACTATACTATGCTCGTGTGAAGAAGAATCCGGTACGTATGAGAAATATCACAACTACTACAGGAGTAGTAATAGGAAAATCGACCACATCGGCATCACTCACAGCATGAACCACCATCATTGTTATGTGCCACCACTTCTGTTTGAATTACGATTAAACAGCAGCAGGAACATACAGTAGAGTATCATACCTCAGACTACACCTCATGCCCCTGCGCGGTAGAAGTAGGCAGTCAACTACTACTAGTAGTGCTAGTAGCTCTTTCCCCCACCACAGGCATACAAATTTTTGGCACAACAAACAATAGTAGGAGTGTTACAATTCTCCATGTTCGTTACCAATTACCCAATTAAAATTAGTACTCCGTGGAGCTACCCCCTCTTTTCACCTTTCCACCCGGGATTCCAAACAAGCTACAGAGTGCTAGTCTGCTTGGTACCTTTCAAAGCAAACCCCGATCGTGCCAGGGACCTCTAAGTGGTCACGTCCTACCACAGACCCATCAATGGTGGTTACCTATTACCTTTTGCCCTACAGGGTACCAATGGTTACTTATTTACATGCCCATTTCGCCATAACAATTCTTGGAAGGCGGCGATTGGCTGGGGGAGGTCAACTACCCAAGTACTAGTACCACATGACCGACTGGAGGAAGCTCCACATCTCCTCCAGCCTGGATGATCCTACTGGTAGTACTAAGTACCTTCTCTACATACCACTCTTGCGCCATTTGGTATCAATTGGTGCTTCTCAATTTGAACAGTATGGACTAAACCTGGGTAAGGTTAGAATTTGGCTCTTGTCTTTGTAACTGCCAGCATATATTTCGGACCACGGCTTCCAGATACTCTATCCTCTCTCACCATATCACTGGCGGCGGACCTGAGTGCCCCCTCATCTACTGTCATGCCATCTAATCAGACTAGATGCAGCTAATCTAGTCCTCTTAAACAGGTTTTAAGCCCATCCCAGGCGTTCCACTAAGACATCGCAACTCACATGCAGCTTCAAATGTGGAGTTGGTAGCCTATCCTGGTACAATACGAATGGTAATGCATATAAGTGTTCTAGATCCTCCGGGCGGAAAAACAGATGACGCAAACAGCATCAGGAGGTCTTCCTGCTTTCGACCAAGCCATGCACGCCCATAGTAGCGGGGCCCAACAAGGCAATTCGAGCTCAATGAACAGGCGATCTCCCACTGAGAATTCGAACAGCGGCGTCTCACCTCCGACTGCTCAGGGAACACAAATGCATGCCAACAGCCTTCACCACTCCATTCATCCGAAAGCTGTTGCGCCACCGGAATTGCTGGCGATAAAAATCATAGCCTCACGTTATCCCACCTTAGTGATACCGCAGCGTGCTTGCATCAGCAACGTAACAAAGCCATGCCGTTTTTCCCCCCAGGCTAAAAGAATGTTTGATTACCTCTTGTTAGATTTGTGCCTAATGCTGTGACCACCTTGAAGGGTTAAATTACAATCTTGCCCAAGTGTCCTTTAGGATTGAAGATATTTTCCCCAGGAGTACTCTTCCTGTGAACGCAAGGCACAAGCCAAGATGGTCGTTAAAGAATGAATTTTGTCGCCTCTTACTCCACCCCGGAAATACAAAATTTGCTGTAGGTCTTGAACCATTCTGCAGCGGAGCTTTGTCTTTTCTAGTGCTAGCCCGGCCCGGGGAGATTGCGGGCTTCCGGTTAAGGCTACGACTAGTCGACGGGTAAAGCAATAAAGCAACTGATTGAGGCTGGGAGACTGTATTAGTGGTCCTATTTGGCATGAAGGTGAGCAAAAATCTGTGATCGTGAAGGTCTGCTAGGATTTTACTAATGCTGATTGGTAACTCTGACACATTTCTAACACCAACTCTGAACCCAGTGAGAACGTTGCGCTTTCCTTCGATCCACACCACCTTGCAATTATTGGCAGCAACCACCTGTCCACACGTAGCGTGCGTCAAATATAAGCAGCTGGGGTTTTATGATGCTTCCAAGAGGAGGGACAGCATCCCGGAGATTCCTTTTCCGGTCTCGAGCCACAGATGGGGCTCGATGGCTTCGATCTCCATCAAAACGAATGGCCGATCCTCCGTGATGAGACCGTCAATCCGCACGTAGCCAATCTCCCCGGAGCTCACGCCCTCCGTGGACTCGTATCCGAAGCGGCGTTGAAGTGAGTTGAAAACATTCTGAGCCACTTGGAGACTCTGTAGCTTGATATCGAGGAGGTTCGCTAGCCTAGCGGATCCACCATACTCGTCCTGGACTCGGAAGTCTCCTTTCTGCGGGGATTTGACCATGACATGGGTGAGATGAGAACCCACGAAGACGAATGAATACTCTCCCGTTGAGATTGCAGGTTCGAATTTCTGAATCAGCAAAGAACTCCGGAGACCCCCAACGGTGCAAAGCTCGAGGAAGGTCAAGTCATCCGCTGAAAGTGCTGATGTGTTTGTGATCCGCCGGGTTAGCGTGGAGGATGCAGATATCGATGGTTTCAGGACCACGGACCCCGACGGAAGGAATTCATGCACCAGGGCATTCAATTCAGTTACACTGTACTTCCGAGGATCCACGATTTTGGTCTTAGGAATAATGAAGCCTTCCTGCTCCATATCCAGCAAGTACCGTTTGTCCGCATTCCACCGGACAAGTTTTGTGTTGTTGATGATGCGAGGAATGTTGGACAGAGGGGCATCTGGCAGGCTCCACACCAACTTTTCCGCTTTGTCAAGAAAGGCGAAAAACTTCTTGGGATGTTTATAGTACTCATTGCACCAAAGGAAGGTGACCACGTCGAACTGACTGAGCACTGTCACGACATCCTCATCCATCCAGCATTTGAGCGTGACCTGGGCTCCTTTCTCCAATAGGAGACCGGGCAAATCGTAGTTTTGATAAAATGGCCATTCTGCCCTTATCGTATGGGGCTGTTGCGTGGTGAGGAACAAAATCCTTTGCGGGGTCTCAAGGATTGGACGCATTGCGTTGAAAATATATCTATGAAAAGGGTAGGAAATTATATGAAGTCTCAAGATTGTAGGCTAATAAGAATGCTATGATATGTGTCTTCAAACAGTCGGTCTTGCAACAAAGCGGTGCTTTAATACTTGGTCTTCTTTCATGGATCTGAATGCCGGCTTCCTGATCCTTTCCTCCTCTGCTGATGGGGCGTATGCAGCCAGGGGATTACTCTCCTTGGTTACATGAACTAATGACAGCGTCCCTCAACGACGCCATACCTGCCTTGTTTCACACAATTAGTACATACATGCATGGTGGCGGCATGTAGGAGCACGACTTGCGTCGGAGTTGCCGCTTTGTCTGCAACTCAAACCCCGAGTCCAGTGGAATCAAGGACAAGGTCTTGGTTTCATTGACTAACAGATCTAACAACTCTTACTATCAAATTATAGGTAGTAGCAAATCATTGCTGGGCAAAGAGTGGTATACCATAGACACGCTCAAGAGAAGGAATTTTACCCCGCGACAGCAGGTTTTGCGTTCAATTCAGTAGACCAAGCCTATCTGCTGGCGGATACTTGCAGTTTGTCTCCCGCCTTTCATCAGGTCATTCAAATTCTATACGGAGCACATAGCAATCAATTACTACACTTCCTACTATAGAGGAACCGCGAAAACATATCACTTCACACTTCCTTAGTTCTTGGCTCTCTCACCATGGAAGCGAGCCCGCAAGCCATACTTTGAACCACGAAACCGAAACGCTCGTAGATTGGCTTTCCGGCTTCACTCGAGTCAATGTAGATTAAAGCATTCTCTTGATCTGCTACCCGACATCCCCATTCAAGAAGTAACCGCGCTGCACCCATGCGTCGGTAGCCGGTATGCGTCGCGAGCATATCAAGGTCTGCAGGTAGATCAGATCCTCATTCCGTAAAGATTCCTGCTTTCAGAACTTACAGAAGTTTTTACTGGAGTTTCCAACTAGGCGATCCCGAACCTCCTCCAATCGTTGAAAGTATTCCTCGTTACGGCGGGCATCCATATCCGGGTGCCAGGGGGGAAACCGGGGGCCACGCTCCTTGGATGTCTCAAGAGACCATTTGGCATAAGCGGCAATACGCCCGGTCTGGCTGTCAATTACCTTGAGGTACTTCTCGCGCGGCTTGTTTAGCATGTCGTAGCGAATGGCTGACTCCCACCAATGCCGTACTCCTGGAGTGTCAGGCCAAATAGCAAGCATGGAGGGAGTGCTGAAGGCATTGTACCACAGCTGTATCAGCTCCGGCACGTCCTCGATTCTTGCCGATTCGAGTTTGAGCGGTGGATCTGGTGTCAGAGTACCGGTGACTGTGGTGATTGTGGTTGCCATAGCGGGGGATAAACTATCAGGAAAAGATCCGGGCTGCTTGTGCAATGAGCGGTTCATTGGGCCTTCGCAATTGTGATATGGAAAAATATTCAATTGTCAAACGCCACCAAAGCACGAATTGCTCAAAGGCCACATGACAACGGAAAGAGGGAGAATCACCAGTACCCAATTTCACTAATGTCGATCGATCGATCCCATCTGGCCGCCATAACCGGTTTGCTTATATTAATAGTGACCGCCATTATACGTTCCCAGGATATTCCCGAAATATAATTCTGCGCCGCCTTAATTAAGCAAGAGACCAACTAGGGCCTATAACGGAATCTGGACCGCCAACCCCTCACCATCGATGGGGCCCCGAGCTCGGCCCGCTGGTGGGTCCCGCCGACTCATGTAGCATTGCAGCTAGAACCGGCCAGTGAAAGCTCTCCTCGCAAGCCCAGGCACCACTTCAGATGCACTCGTCCAAAGAATGCTTTAATGAGTGGCGACCAGCAGAGAACGGAGCAGTTGCTAGGCATTGCAACATGGAACCCCCTGAGCACGTCGCTGTGCCCGCCTACTGATGGCCCCCATTTCAAACCCCGAGTGGCAATACATGAGCTTACCATCTGACAATGCAGGTTCAATATACACTAGTGTCAGACGTAAATCCCAATAGCAGGCCAGCTACGGGGAATCTGGGGATTGTTCCTCGGCCCATCAAAAGATCTGTAAATATGCAACCCCAACGACTCACCAGCGTTGTCGTGGCACCCTCCCATGTAGGCGTCTATGGAAAACTTTGGGGACTGCTATGTAGCCCGCAAAATGGGAGACATCTATCTTTATTCCTCCATGGGAAGGACCCATCTGCGCTATTATGTGGCTCTCAAGACGTCGACTCGAGCTTTTCGAAAGCTCTACAAGCCCGATCGGACATCTCAACCATACCAATGTTCTACGCAAAGGGAGAATAAGGAAAGAAAGCCGAACTTCTTGGATGACTGAACAACCGCAAAATCGATGGCTGTGATCGAAATGTGGCAGTTTATTTGCCAACACGCTATAATCGATTCTTCGTCTTTTCTATAGGCTACCATCCACCTAAATGAGGGGTGATGCAATGAGGTTACATCGAAAGCAGATCAGCCAGCATCATCGTGCTGAAGCAAAGATTGTAATAGGTTAACATCCCAGCTCGTTCTGTCGTAGCAAACAGCACAATTCCAAGATACAGTCAACAGATCCCGAAATACATGCATATGGACCTTGCCCAGGTTGAAATAGCGAAATAATGCCAAACGATTCGCCAGTCAGAGACGGAGGTCTGAATTTGGCCGTTGCGCGAAATGCATACGGACAAATGGTCGAGAACAGAAATTTTCCGAGTCTCAAACCCCGAAGTCGTTCGTATGATAATCAAAGTTATTTCTCTGTAAAGCAAAATGTGGCGAATAACTAATCACGACAGAGAGCATACACGCCAATGACGGTAATAATTCGCTCGCATGATTGATGCAGAATCTAGATTGCATGTTCTACTTGCCTAGCTGATACTGTGAAGTAGGTTCTGATGGCTGATGACGCCAGAAAAAAGAATCCTTTCTGGGTGTAAGATGAGGCTATAAATAGTGCTTCCTGACCGGTGCAATCAACGCTCATTATCAGAATATCGGATCACGATCTCTCAGAAACGATCGAACCTCTTAGCTCTTCTATTCCGCGATTCAATATGCCTACCATCGGTCAAGTTTACCAGCTTTCCAAGACTGAAGAAGATTCTTCAAAGATTGGCACTGCGTTCGGAGATATCAGGTATGTCTTATGTATTTTCCTGTATCCTCCTGGGGGGCTAGCTGTATGATGCGGACAGCCATCATGATTGGATCCCTCTCTTCTTATTGCACCACAACTTGTTGTAAGCCATACTGACCTCTACAGCATTCTCGGCGAAAAGGTCCGCAAAACCCAGTTTGCCAACCCGTTAACTCAGGCCATCCTGTTTCTCCATCCACACTTGATCCAAACCTACAACCCCCTCAAAGGCCGAACACTGAGCACAAATGGTCCTATTCGTGCCGGCGAGCTCCTCATGGCCGACCTTCCCTATGCCGTGTTGCCAACCGTGGCCGTTGGGGATAGCGAACACTCCATTTGCAGCAACCTGGGCTGCAGTCGACGCGTTTCCCGGCATGCAGCAAATAGTGTTACATGCGAGACTGGCTGTTCTCTTGAGATCTGGTGGTGTAACGAGTCTTGTAAAGATGAAGACCAGGCTCGTCACGACTTCGAGTGCGCCTGGCTGAAGAAGTACAGCCCTGTTCTCCGCCAGGAACTCGGCGATCACGATTATTACATGCTTTGGATCATCATCCGACTTCTTGCAGCCCGGTACCTTGAGCTTCAAGGCACAGCGCCAACCAACGTCCACCAGCAACTCACATTCCAAGATCGCTTCGTTAGCGGCTGGAAAGGCGTCCAGCTCCTCCGAAGCAACCGTGACTCCTGGCCCACATCCCAGCTTCAACACTGGACCACCCTAGCGGAAAAATATCTGCTACAGTCTTCACCCCTCCCGGAAACCCTCGACCTCGATACGCTCATCGACCTGATCTGCGCCGAGGAAACCAACGTTTTCGAACTTTGCCCTGGCCCGACGGAGATCATCCCACACCAATCTCCGGGCGTCAAGCGCGGCACGCAATACGGCCTAGCTGTGTTTCTGCGCATCACCCTCGCAAATCATTCTTGCGCGCCCAATGTAAGCACACATCCCACTTCCCGCCCAACTGCGTGTCCCCAAGTTGACCTGTCGCTCGCTAACATAACCCACCACGTAGGTGACACACCAAGCCGATGACCGTGGTCGAATGATGGTGACTGCACTACGAGACATCGCGCCAGGCGAGGAGTGTTGTACCTCCTACTTTGACCTGTCTGAATACGTTGACCTGCAGGCACGTCGGAAGAAAACCCAGGAGTTGTTCACATTCACGTGTACGTGCCCGAGGTGTTTGCAGGAGGAAAAGGTCCAGAATTAGTATGCGACCAATGTAATTGGAGAGAGAAATGTGCTCATGCAGGTGGGATGCGTTTTGTGATACGTCGTTTTTGCGGGCTTAAATATGAATTGCCTCTGATTTGTCCAGTGGCGGTACTCCATGGAGTATGTGTGGCCCGTGCTTTTGCGGGATTTGAGACACCAGGGTTAGCAGATTGCTCGTTGTATATTGTTGCCTCGAGAGAGATTGAACTAGTCGCAGAGAGTAATAAAATCACGGAGAAGAGTTGTCAGCCAGTCCCTTGCGCAGAAATGAAAATTCGTGGGTGGCACAAGTTGTCAGGTGGAGTTCTGCCGGAGGACATAAAATGGCTCACTCCATCCCTCTTTCTGAGGTGTAGCCAGCTCATATCTAGTTTCTCGTGATATACCTACCGCTGCAATGTCGTTCCCCCGCTGTGCCTTATCCTTCCTGGGGCAAACCACAGTTCGTAGATTCCTCGGCCAACAACAGCCCCTTTGTCAGCCAGTCCACCAAATACGACAGTATTCGCCCTCCATAGACTATCAGGTCTCCGCAACAAGATCGACCATCGCTCAACTCCTTAACCATATTGACTGCCAGCGAACTGCAGCACAGTACCTCTCCCACTTCACCACACCCCAGTCCCCTACACAGCAGCCCTTCGCAGTCATCAAGGTCGGCGGAGCGATACTAGACACCCACCTCCATACCCTCGCATCAAGCCTCGCCTTCTTCAGTCGTATGGGCC